AGTGACTTATTATTTAAAAAAAAGGTGGCTATGATTTCTTTCTTTTATAGCAAATTGAAGTATGAAAAAATGAAGAAAAAACACATTAATGCAAAATTCAAGAGAAATGATTACTGGTAGTATGACCCGTAGAAGTGCACCTGTCAGTATGCGAAAGTATAGAATTCTAAGGTTTTGCCATCAATAATGATAAAATTTCATTTATCCGATAAACATTTTACCAGCTGATAATGACAAGAAAGTCACTGGTGTGACAAAGCATATTTAACTCAAACCCATTTGCAATTTAGTTTGATATTTTAAATTTCAACAGAAATAAGTCCTTATTTAACAAACAAAAAATAAACCAGGAAAAAATGAGTTTCAATATAAAATCATTGGAACCAGTTTAGAATAATCTAACTTATATATAGGTATCATAAAAAATGTACTTTATATCAGGTGATTTACTATTTTACATATATAATGGGCGGTTTCATTATCAACAGATGCAAGACAGATTTGAGTTATAGAGAAAGTCAAAAAGGTCCTGTTCACAATCATGTTTAAATGGGTGTAATGATGTAAGCATATTAAAACTACTGATGCAGTTTAGATTTATCTATGGGAAAGCTGAAAAAAAACGTGTAAGGCAACATTAAGTCATTTCAGCTGAACAGATTATAATGGAGGTGCGAAAATGTCACGCTCATTCATCACTTTGAATTTCCCCCGAGATTTATGTTTGAGTGTAGACCTGTGTGTAACACAAAATAGATATGTTAAAAGTTTTGTATTTTTGGTTCTAGTTCAATTTATGTCGTAATATTTAGTTGTCCCGTGGATTTTGAAAGCTTGTAAACCTCAGAACTTTTTTCTATAGATTACGCTTGTATCAATGAACTCGCATTGGTCGAGTGTAAAATGAGTTTTGCATATATATATTTTTATATAAAAATAAACTCGTAAAATTTATTTATTTCACGACAATTATGAAACAGGTTATTACAACTTATATTAACCACTCTTGTTGCCCCTGAATGTAAGTGTGTGGGAGGTCGTAATGTGGGAGGAAACTGGAGTATCCAAAAATGAACCCATGTCCCATCAGGGAATCAAACCCTGACCACCTGGATAGTGGGTAATCAACTTCACCACCCAACCACACAATACATTTTCTACCCCAAGTCAATTTTATTTAATACCATTCTTTCCAAATAAAATTGGAAGATGGCACAAGGTAACAAAAAATACTTCAGAAGCTTGTTTTTTGTCTTTCAAATGTTATTTTGTCTTATATTCAGAAAATTACTGTATTGTATATGAAATTTTGATTCTGATAAAAAAAATGTTATTATATTGGGATTGGATATTTTAAAGTGTGAATTTATGAATGTAAAAATTCATGCTCAGAAGTTTGCTTATAATATTTTATATTTGAATTGGAAATAAAGCTATAAATTCATGAAATTAATATTTTAAGGTTGTCAGAAATGCAGTTAGATATGTACATGTTTGATTTAATGATTGCAATTAAAAAAAAATGTATTTATGACACTCACAATACTTTATATGAAGAAAAAAAGATATAAAATTATGAAATAAAAGTATTTATCTGTCATTAATTAATGACTGATTAACTTGAGTCATTTTATATTTTTAGTAATATCATACTTTTAGTAATATAATGTGATCATGTTCTGCAATTCCTGTAGATAAAAGAACAATTTATATATGTATCATAAACAATTTACCATGATATATATATACTCAGCTTGTACTAATGTAAACAAAATGTAGGTCATGTTGCTCAATACAGGTGAAAACACACTTCAAATGAAGTTTTATGTTATATGTAAATTAAACTCAACATACCTGTAAAATATGGAAATCCGAGGTGTAGTGGGTACAGGTAAAGATGCAGCCTTGCAGTACGATCACTCGGATGGTCGGTACATATACGATACGCTTAGTATCAATATTTTAACAGAATTCCATGAACAAATATCAATTCTGCACGCTGGCCATATATCAATTTTACACTTAATATTGATAAAGTCGAGAGTACCGTAATTACAGAATATGGCAATATCAAATAGGTGATATCACATTGAGGCTGGAGATTGAATTTGCGTACCTGAGACCAAGCTAACCTTATACACACAGAATGGTGACTCTTTATACAGCAAAATGCACATACACTTACTTACAGACGACACATATATTTGTTCATTAAAAGTCTTCAGACCTTTTCCTATAAAATAATGGAGGTGTGATGAGTCACCAGGAACAGGTTATTTTTTTAATTTTCTTATTTATCTATATATTTCAAAACCACATTTTTTTTATGCAGCACAATTACCTCGTTGCTTAAAAAAAGCATTTAGGCCCAAAGTGCTAAATTTGGTAGTCTTTAAAAAAATGTTTTCACAACCGTGACATTTTTTTCATTCACTGGATGGCGTAATCATGGGGTACAGCTGTCGACCGCTCAGATAGCCTTAAGATATAATGTTTAAAATCCACATAATAATCTAAAAATGTTATAGACATACACAGGTGTGTCAATTTGTACCTGTATAGGTGCAGACCTAGACAGATACCTATACAAGCCCCGGTGTCCATTCTAAATGTCTCAAATCTTGATACTGGCATTGCACAGGTGTCAGATCAGGTTTCCATAGCGTTTTGATTTGCGGTTCGTCTATATGTTATCCGCTAATCACTTTTAAGCGAACACCTGGAATACATTTCAGCACATTTAATATGGAGATCTGTGAGCAAGTCGATGTTGTTGTCATTTCAATTCAGACTAAATTGTGGGTTTCAACTCTGGTTTGACAAATTACGCCTGGGTCTTCGACCAGCTGAGATCTATTATGAGATGGAAATGTCTTGTGGTTGGTACACACATCATTACAATTTGCACTTAAGTGTTCTAATCATTCCTGAAACCTGTCGTAAAATATGTTACTTAAATACTTTATTGAACATGTTTTGAAATAACGGATCAGTGAATATTGTTTTGGGGGCTTGTTTTACAGCAGAAAAAAGGCTGCATCATGTAGGCAAAAAGTGCCTTCTTTTCTAAAAAAAAAAAGTGTATAAAAAGAATGATATCCCAATTTTGATACCAAAAAGAATTACTACTGAGTATATTATCCCAATTCATGCAGGCAAATTAAGGACCCACTGTAAAATTTAGTTTAAAAAAATTGTACTAAGTATTTTTTTATTCTTAGTCATGATCAGTTACTGGTTTTATCAAATTTTACTTCAGATTTTGTGCAACGTCCATCAGTTCATGTGTGATTTTGTCATTTGCTTACCTCATTCACAATTACCAAATTGTAGATGAAATTTTATACCCAAAATTTAATGCAAGTTAAATTAACTGTATGATGGAGTGTGGCATACATGTACCTGCTATATGCAGAGTTTACTGCCCTTTAATCCATGTATGTTATATCCAAGGCATATCTTGTGTACTCTTGTCACCTACTATTTGCCAAATTTTATATGTGATAACCTTTTATGATAAAGGATGGTCGACATACTGAAATTTGGTTCTTGCTGTAGCAGAGTTACGGCCTTTCGTTAACCCTCTTTAATCAAGGTTGTTGAAGGGTAGATCTCATACAAATATTCTGTCACTTACAATCGCCATTTTTTTTATGTGAACACATCCTGGGTTGGCAGAGCTTCATGAAATTGGATGTCTTGTTCGATTCAGTGCTTTGTGCTGTATTTTATTTTGTCTGCGGCATCATATCTCTTGTAGTCTCAAATTATAATCTACAATTGACAAGTTTGCGTTTGGTTAACACTTAGGATGCTGAAGAATTGCATATTAAATCAAATCTCCTTCCCTACTAGATCTATGAACATTTGTCCATTTTTGATAGTGAAGTTTGACCGGAGTTGGAGACTACAGATCACTTGCCTTGTTGTGATATGTTGTGTATAAACCCTTACTTAAGAAATAACTAATGAAGGTCTTATAATGAGAGATGCAAAGATCAGCCCCTGCGAGAGGGTATTCATGAAATCATGAATGGTCATGAACAATTCATGAACATTCATGAATACAGACAGTTTGAAATTCATGAATACTTATTCATGAATATTCATCAACCGGCTTTCATGCATTCTTCATGAACTTTTATGAATAATTAATAAATTCATAAAAATGCATGAATCTGCATGAAGTTTGTGATTATGAATTATTCATGGACTTTTATGCACAGCAAAAATTCATTAAAATTCATCAGAATTCATGAAAGGCATATCCTTGAGAAATCATGAACTTTGATGAATTTAAATGAATAATGCAAATTCATTAAAATTCATCAAAATTTCTTAAAGATTGACTGAGCAGAAATCATGAACTTTGATGAATATTTCAAATACACAAAATTCACTATTATTCATGAAATTATGAATGATGAGAAAACTCAGTATCCTCAGAAACCATTTTTTTTCTTGTGGTTATTTCAACTCCATGTCCATTTTGCATGAATGTATATAATAATGTAAATATATATAATATATAAATATAATTGCCAATTTTGCAGGAAGTATACATAAATTATATTATGGAGTTCCATCTGTATTGATTTTATTGACTTTGGGAAGCACTGTAATTACTGGGAGCAGCGGTGGCTCAGTCAGTTGTTAAGGTCACAGACTACAAATCACATGCTTCTCACCTCCTTATGTATATATATATATATATACATATTGAAAATAACACTGGAATTTCAGTGAGATTCCACTGGAATGAAATATTTCAGTGGAATACCACTGGAATTCCAGAGAAGAAAACAAAAATCCTGTGGAATTCCAGTGAAGCAAAAAAATACAAGTAGAATTCCACTGGAAAAAAATCACTGGAATTATATTTCTACTGGAATATTAATTCCAATGGAACTATAACTCCTCTGACAATCCATGCAGAGGTGATGAGATCTGAAATACATTTTGCATGAAGTGGTATTAACTAGAAAAAATGGAACAATACATCAGTTTAACAATTTTTTAATAGATATATTACCCTTTACAAAGACAATTGTAGGCTAGCTATTAACGTACATGAGTTTATACAAAATATGACTATGTTAAGTCAGTTATGTTCAAGTGTTTAACACTTATGAATGTGAGATTTGGTGTTATTTGGACTAAGATGAACTTCTTTCCTAGTCTACTGCAATGAACTAATACAGTGTCTCCAGTCAACTAGTTCAAAAACATGAATGCAGAGTGATTTTTCAGCATGCTCCTTTAACACGGGCATGGTAATGGCATTTTTCAAATTCTGACTCAATATGTCCCAGACTTGCAAGGACATTCAGAGATATTGGCACAGCTGGTAAAAAGTCATCCTGGCAGTTCATTATTTTCATTATTGTTTTGTATATTGTCTTTGTCATTGTGTATTATTTTCTGCACCTGAAGATTTTGTGTAAACGCTGCTTTGCTCATTGATGGATGGGACACAAACCTATGAAACTGATAGCACAGCCATTCAAGTTTAGTCATAGTATCAGAATTAGGAATTTTGTTGACTGCTAATTCTGAGTTGAATACAGTGAAGTCATAAGAACTACACCAGTCACAATTCATTTCCTTTTGGTTCTCATCTTCGGAATCACTGTTGGCCTCTGAATCATCCTGTTCAGGATCTGTCATCTCCTGATCAGATTCTGAGTATATTGAACCCTGGTCTTCATGCCAATTGGCCATATCCTCTAGATCTTGGTTTAATTTATCATCAGAGCTTGTCTCTGAATCTGATCTGAAATATATAATTTGTATGATATACTGAACACGCCAATTACCAATTAATTATCATCTACCATATTTATCCTTCAATAAGCCCAGGGAGCAAGTGTAAAATATTGGGTGGTCTAATTGCAGACATATATATATTACACGCTACATGTATATATAGGGAAATGAATTAAAAAATAATGAAATTCATAATGATATTGGGGGGAGGGTGTTATTACCTGCAGGCATGGGCTTATTGCGGATGGAACTATTGTTTATTGAAGACCAAATTCAGAATTGTTTCCAGCTTGGTTTACAATGTTTAACATCCTTAGTAAATAGTCGGGTAGTTCAAGGATGTCAAGCCATTTCTAAATTTGAGACTAGTGTATTTTGAAGTTTGTTTAATGACATCAGTTAGTCACCGACAAAGCGGGACACCTGAACAGGAAAGATCATGAACCTTCACACTTTTATAAACTGAAAGCGAGATGAGATCTTTGAGATCAGGGAGTTCTATATGAGGTAATTGACAAGATAGCTAATTATCTCAGGGCCGCAATTAATATTTACTAAAGAAATTGTTGTCCAATGTTTACCAGTAAATACTGGCATGGCTGGTAAGTTGACAGTATATTTACTGGTAATTAACATTGGACATAAACATTTTCAGTCAACATTGCTCAGAATAATTCCAACTGCCAGTTGCAGTAAAAATAATAATCTAAACATTTTATTTAGATCATAGATCATGAACAGGATTTTTTTTTTATTTTTTCGTTATGTAAAGTACAAGTATTAGTTCACAATTGGTACAATATTATACAACATAATCCTCAAAAACGAAGAGATACTTGACTTCGATTATACCCAGGATTTTACCGTCGCCATGCGGTGAAAATAATCACAAGCATTTAAAATTCTGACAGTAAATTGAGATATTTATCATTTCAAGATAACAGTATTACTATCGATAGTAATTGACTTAATCGTCCATATTCCTTTATAAGATTTAACGTTAGGTCTGTCAATTTACTGTCAGAATTTCGAACGCCTGTGAAATATTCGGTGACTTAGTGGCACAAAACAGCGACACGCCTACACCTCTGGACTTTTTACAAAAACTTTTAATTGAAATAACTACGGAAACAACATGGCATTGCTCCTTAAGTTAATTTAATCAACGTATGATGGCCTTAGTCTTACCTAGTGTGCGAAAATCCAGGGGAAACTGGAGTTGTTGACATGCTGTCGGGCGAATGTTCAAACTCCAATTCCTATCCATTGTTTGCATCGCCGTCATTGAGATGAAGCCCGTATCTTTTTATATGTGTTTTAATCTTCCTTTCATCGATTGGTGTGCCTGTTTATCGACAGACAAAGTTACATGGTCTTTTTTCGCACCGAAGTCATTCCATGCCATATTTTTATAAATTGACTTCCGGTAGGATCGGAGCGAATAGAGGAATTATTCTGATTGGACGAAATTAATCCCGCGCCAAATACGCTTCCGAAGAAAGTGGAGATGGAGAAATTTTCGAAAGACGGCAGAAAGATTATCGAAGCCGAAGGTAAGAATCTGATTGGTATTTTATGAAATACTTGTATGAAATGTTAAAACTATGTGTAATTATGTGAAACCAGTCTGTGATCATGATGTTACAACGGTTTACATTGGCAACAACTCATCTGATTCGTCATATTACGGACAAA